CGGATGTACGGGAGTAGCAGCCGACCGTTCACAGTGGGAGAGCTGCTCGAAAGGCTGCGTCGAGCTGCAGGGGACCGCTGTGGCGTTGCTGTCGACCAGGGAGCTCGACAGCCGCATCTGCCTGGCCTGGGCGACGGGTGGGCCGTCCGGGAGGTCGACGGAGCAGTCCGTCGACCTACAGTTCGACGGGGAGGTCTGCGGAGCATCCCGTCGACCTACAGTTCGACGGGGAGGTCTGCGGAGCATCCCGTCGACCTACAATTCGATAGGGAGGTCTGCGGAGCATCCCGTCGACCTGCAGCTCGACCGGGAGGTCGACGGAGTAGATCTGGTCGACGGAAGAGATCCATCGACCAGGGGGTAGCTCGACGGGAGCTCTGGTCGAACAGGGGCACCTGGTGGTCGACCGAAGGCGCTGGTGGTCGACCGAAGCACTTGGTGGTGTCCGGGTCGAACGGATAACCTGCTCGACGAGTTCTCCGGAGGCACGCGAATGTCCTCGAGGTCGCGATGTCGAAAGCGACTGTGGGCTGGTATCCCGAAGTCGATGTGGCTCGTTAGGCGCAGACAACAGCCGACGGATGCACAGTAATGAAGGTCGGGCCAATCGTCTGCGCACACCTGCGAGCGTGCGCACTGCTGTCTTCTACAGGGCAACGCTGGACAGCCGCACTGCTGCAGCGTTGGCACGCCGTCGACCTGCAGTGTTGGCAGGTCGCTCTTCTGCAGTGCTGGCGCGGCTCCTCTACGCAACGCTGGCACGCGGTCGACCATGCAGTGCTGGCAGTCGACCAGGCTAGCTGCAGAGTTGCTAGGTGCCTGATGTAGTCAGTTAAATCATTGCTTGTTCTATCATTCTGTAATTCCAACTTTGCCTAGTGAAACTCTTGTCGATTTCTCCCGTGTATGCGCAAGCGCTAAGGAACTAAGCAAAGCTACGATCACTCATAGTAGTTCGTGCCTACCCCGTAGTCTAGCTCACTACCGTTGTAAAGTGAATCTTTGCATGGTGCGGTGAGCGTGGATCGAACACGCGACCTTCAGATAGGAGCCGACTTCTACACCTGCTAAGTCGTTCGTAGGCCGGCAGCAGCGTTAGTCGCCATGGTCGACCCCGTTGTAGAAGCGGGCGTAGCGGACACCTTGGAGGCGCGATTGACAGATGCGAGGAGACGCCATGCGGATGGCGAGTACGGGACGATCCCCTTGACGATCGTCGAGTTGGGCATCCGGGTGCAGTGGGCGATGGAACACCCTTCACGTCCTGCATCTCCTCGACCAGTGCGGAACGAAGGTGGCGTCGACGACGAGGTCGACGGTGGTGCACGAGTCAGCGGCAGCGAAGGCACGAGGCAGAGAGGGGTGATCAAGGTCGACGGTGTTGTCGACGGGATTCAGGCGCGAGTGCAGCAGTCGACAGCGGCTGCAGGCATCTCGCGTGTCGACGTCGATGCTCGACGTCGCTCTCCTCTACGAAGCAGTGGAGGGCTCTCGGCGACAACGCATGTGACGGCAGGCGGGATTGCACCGGATCACCGTCGCCCCGCTGCAAGGTCGACGTGACCTCATCACCTGGAGGGAGTCGATAGAACCTCAGCTGGAGGTCGCCGGGCTGAAGGGCTTCGCCGACGGCACCGTGCCCATTCCGCCCGAGGAGGATGTCGAGCTGCGCGGGGAGTTTCGTGCTGCTCACCTGCTCACTTTCATGGTCATCTCGAGGTGCTGCTCGCCGGTGGTGCAGCTAGCGCTCAGGAGCTGTCGAGAGCGACTTGATGCTGGTCACCAGGCGTGGCGCTTCATCCTGTCGACGTACCAGGTGAAGGACGACCTGTACATCGGACAGTTGGAGGAGAAGATGACTCACTTTCGAATGGGCGAGCAGGAGTCGGCGACGGACTACTGCAAACGTACTCGACGGATCCTGGCGGAGATGCGGATGGCGGGCGCAGAGTACTCGACGACGTCCTACATCACCCACGTTGTCAAGGGCCTGCCGCGCAACTATAACCTCATGAAGAGGATGATGATGGTGCCCGGCACACGTGAGTCCCTCGACGAGGACTCCATCACCAGCTACATCCTTCAAGACGAAGCTATGCAGGAGGCAGAGCAGCCCACGGAGCTCCTTCCGCAGGCGAGCTACGCTGCACCGACGAAGCAGAATCGTCAGCAGGAGCAGCGCGGGAAGCCCGGCGGAGGTGGTAGCGGAGGTGGGCGGTCGAAGAAGGAGGTCGACGAGAAGAAGTCGACGCGGGACAAGGGTCGTGGAGGTGGTGGTCGACGGCGGGAGTGCTGGATCTGCGGCGACCCCGACCATCTCTCCTTCGAGTGCCCCGACCGCGACGACAGCGACAAGGATGACAGCAAGGGAGGTCGCGGTCGATCCGCCAGCCCTCGCCCACATTGAGATGAATAGCCGCGCAAGGAGAAGAAGGCGTCGAAGAAGACGTCGTCGACGAAGGAACTCGACAGCTCGACCGGCAAGGACCGAGGCGACGGGGAGGCGTCGTGCTCGATGGTCGGCGTGGTGGAGCCAACAGTCTCTCTGGCGCCGGAGGCTGGCGAGGACTTCCAGGCGGTGGCGGCAGCTGTGCAAGCCAACCCGATGGCGGTGCTGCTCGACAGCGGTTGCTCCCACCACCTGATGGGGACGAAGGTGGTGTTCGTCGACATGGGGCCGAGCGACGGCGTGAAGCATGTGCGTGGATTCAACGGCGCGCTGTAACCTGTCGAAGGTCGCGGAACCGTCGCTTTGCAAGGGGAGGCCGGGAAGCAGGTCCTCATCCCCGACGTGCTCTACGTTCCGGGCGTACAGGCGAACCTGCTGTCCACTGGCCAGCTGAAGGAGAGCGGAGTGCAGCTGCAGGGCGACGGCGACGAGATGCTGCTCGTCGCCGCGACCGGGGAGGTGCTCGGTCGAGCACGCTACACCGGACGAATCCTCTGCACCGACCTTCGCCCGTGCTCGACGCGATCGCCGTCGACCAAGGTGGTGGCTCTACGGATAATCGTCTCGGCGACAAAGGTGACTCCCGACCGGCTGCACGCGAGGCTCGCGCACGTCGGCATCGACACGATCAAGAGCTCGGCGAAGCATGAAGTTGCTACTGGGCTCGACATCACGCCGTCGACCGGAGCAGACCCGCCGTGTGTTTCGTGCGTCGGAGGAAAGCTGGCGCGGCACACCTTCCTCGACAAGGGCTCGGACGCCGAGGAGGCACTGGCTGTCGTGCACATTGACTTGTGCGGGCCATTTCGGGTGGCTGCCAAGGATGGCAGCTTGTACTTCCTGCTGCTGAAGGATCGCCACACTCGGTTTGTGTGGACAATGCCGGTCGCTAAGAAGAGCGACGTGCTGCGGGAGTTTCAGAAGTGGCTGGTGCTGGTGGAACGGCAGACGAAGAAGTCGGTGCTGTCGCTCCGCTCCGACCGGGGAGGGTAGTTCCTCGGACGGGATTTCACCAACTTCGTCGACGGGAAGGGCATCGTCCACGACCTGACATGCCCCTACACTCCGCAGCAGAACGGCATGGCTGAGCGGGAGATGCGCACGGTCGTCGAGTCCGTGCGGACGATGCTGCTGCACATAGGTGTGCAGCACCATTGGTGGCACCTTGCTCTTCGACAGGCTATCTGGGCGCGCAACTGCTTGGAGCGGTCGACGACGCCGCCGGGGACAACTCCGTACCAGCTGCTGACCGGGAAGAAGCCCGACCTCACGCTGGCGCGGGTGTGGGGCTGTATGGTGCAGTTCATGGTTCCCGAGCAGCAGCGCGGTGGCAAGCTGGCGTTGAAGGCTCGCTGGGGGCTTCACCTGGGTGTGTCGCCGGAGAGCAAGGGCTGGGAGGTGCTCGACCTGACCGACAACAGGGTGGTCACGTCGGTCGAGGTCATCATCTACGAGACGCTGTCGCTGGAGGTGTGGAAGGCGTAGTATGGGTCGGCGTCAGGGCGGACGGAGGCTCACCCGCCGACAGACACCTCGACGGCGCTGATCCCACTGCTCGCCGAAGTCGACGAGCCTGCTGATGAGGATGTTGTGGAGGTTCCTCCACCTCCCCCTGTTCTTGCTCCACCCTCCCCCGTCGCAGATCGGCCCGCCCGACGCCAGTGTCGGCCGCCGGCGATGTGGGGAGCATTGTGTCAGAGGTCTGTGGCGCCGGCCAGTGGCATCGCCGGCGGTCGACAAGGTGCCAAGTTCGTCGACCAGGACCGGAAGCCGTCGACGACAGGGGAGCAACAGACCCGGGAGCCGGTCGAACAGGAGGCAGCAGCAGGGCTGCAGTCGACAGGGGAGCAGCAGACGGGGCGTTCGACAGGGGAGCCGTCAAAGTCAGCAGCTGGCGAGCAGCTGGTCGAAGGATTGAAGCAGCTGGTCGACGACGAAGGTGTCATACGACGAGGAAGGGGAGCTGTCGGCGGGAGAGGAGTCCACTGACAGTGACGTGGTGGAGGTTCCGGTCGAGAAGTCTGTGCCAGAGCTGCGGCGTTCTGGTCGAGCTCGACAGCCGCCAGAGCGACTGACCTTCCACGCCTGCCTGCCACCAGCTGCCTTCACCACGGTGTATGACGAGGTCGACGACGACCTGTTGTACGACGACGCCGAGGAGGATGAAGACCTGCCGGAGCTCGACCCCGACGTGCATGCCGACCCCGAACACCGCTGGGACATCGCGACGATGACGGTGAAGGAGGCGCTAGCGAGCTGGAAGGGTCCGACGGTGAAGGCCGCCATGGAGGAAGAGATCCGCAGCCTCATCAGCATGGGCACTTGGGAGCTGGTCGAACGCCCACGCGGAGTGAACATCATGAAGAACCGGTGGGTGCTGATGACCAAGTACCGCATAGACCACACCGTCAAGCGCGAGAAGGCGAGGCTGGTCGTGAAGGGCTTCACGCAGGTGTACGGTGCCGACTACGACGAGACGTACTCGCCGGTGAGCAGCTACGTCACGCTGAGGATCTTCCTCAGCATCCTCGATGTCCTCGACCTCAACCTCATGCAGCTCGACATGAAGAACGCCTTCCTGCAGAGCAAGCTCGACAGGGTGCTCTACATGTACCAGCCGGACTACTTCGACGATGGAACCGGCCGGGTGTGTAAGCTGCTGAAGAGCCTCTACGGGCTGAAGCAGTCGCCGCTGCTGTGGTACAGGGCTCTCGACGGAGTGCTGCTGGGGGCTGGCTGGAAGAAGAGCCAGGTCAACACGGCGCTTTACTTAAAGACCAGCGACGACGGAGTGACCTGCTGGGTGCTGGTCTACGTCGACGATCTGCTCTCCACCTTCAAGGAGCTGAAGGAGCTGCTGGAGTCCGCCTTCGAGCTGCGTGAGATCTCGCCGGTGGTGAAGTTTCTTGGGCTGAAGATCATGCGCGATAGGCCATCGAGGAAGCTGTGGCTGCACCAGCAGGGCTACACCGACAAGCTGCGCTGCGTAGGCACTTCATCGACAAGGAGCAAGGCGGTCGAGTTCCGAAGACGCCGGTCTCGGTCGACGCCTACGCTGAGATAACATTCGACGACGAGGAGGCGCAGGAGCGCGAGGAGGAGGAATACCGGCAGAAGGTCGGCTCGCTGCAGTTCGCGGCGACGACGACGAGGCCGGACATCGCGTTCGCCTGCAGCAAGTTGGGGGGCGGCCTCACGGTGACCAGCATTGGCGCGAGGTCGACTGCTGCCTCGCCTACCTCGCCGACACCCGCGACACCGCCTTGGAGTTCGGCGGTGGACCAGAGTCACTGGAGCTGATCGGCTATGTGGATGCCGACGACGCGTGCGACAAGTAGAAGCAGACGAGCACGGGCGGCTATGTGTTCAACTTCGGAGGGGCCGCGATCTCCTGGTCGAGCCAGCGCATCAAGTGCGCGACGCTCTCCTCGACCGAGTCGGAGTACGTCGCGGCCACGGACGCCGGCAAGGAGGGGCGTCGACTTCGCTTCCTCCTTGCAGAGTTCAAGCTGCTCGACCCTGGGAAGACGACCGTCCTTCGCGTGGACAACAAGTCGGCGATGACGGTCGCTGAGGGCATGGGTTTGTCGGGCAACCTCAAGCATATGGAGCGACGCTACGCCTGGCTGCAGCACATGGTGAGGCGCAGGAAATTCACATTGACGTACATCCCGACCACCAAGCAGCCGGCGGACTTCTTGACAAAGGCGCTGCACTTTCCGGCCTTCAATCGGTGCTCTGTCGCCATCGCTAAGTTCGCCTGGCTGACGTCGGCGACGGTGACGATGATGTGCAGCAGTAGGTGCCGTGCCCTTCTGCACGGCTGGTGCAGTGACGGCGTGCTGGTGCGGTGCACGCCGAGGACGAGTTTTCTCCGTGGAGTACTGCCGTGTGGGCTGGAGGCCCAAGCGTGAGCGCGGCAGGGGAGTGTTAACGGGAGTGGAGTGTTGGCCCCGCCCTCGCTTGGGCAACGCCGACGACTTGGTCGGATGTACGGGAGTAGCAGCCGACCGTTCACAGTGGGAGAGCTGCTCGACAGGCTACGTCGAGCTGCAGGGGACCGCTGTGGCGTTGCTGTCGACCATGGAGCTCGACAGCCGCATCTGCTTGGCCTGGGCGACGGGTGGGCCGTCCGGGAGGTCGACGGAGCAGTCCGTCGACCTACAGTTCGACGGGGAGGTCTGCGGAGCATCCCGTCGACCTACAGTTCGACGGGGAGGTCTGCGGAGCATCCCGTCGACCTACAGTTCGACGGGGAGGTCTGCGGAGCATCCCGTCGACCTGCAGCTCGACCGGGAGGTCGACGGAGCAGTTCTGGTCGACGGAAGGGGTCCGTCGACCAGGGGGTAGCTCGACGGGAGCTGTGGTCAAACAGGGGCACCTGGTGGTCGACCGGAGGCACTGGTGGTCGACCGGAGCACCTGGTGGTGTCCGGGTCGACCGGGTAACCTGCTCGACGAGTTCTGCGGAGGCACGTGAACGTCGTCGAGGTCGCAATGTCGAAAGCGACTGCGGGCTGGTATCCTGAAGTCGATGTGGCTCGTCAGGCGCACACAACAACCGACGGATGCACAGCAATGAAGGTCGGGCCAATCGTCTGCGCGCACCTGCGAGCGTGCGCACTGCTGTCTTCTACAGGGCAACGCTGGACAGCCGCACTGCTGCAGCGTTGGCACGCCGTCGACCTGCAATGTTGGCAGCTCACTCTTCTGCAGTGCTGGCGCGGCTCCTCTATGCAACGCTGGCACGCGGTCGACCATGCAGTGCTGGCGGTTGACCAAGCTAGCTGCAGAGTTGATAGGTGCCTGATGTAGTCAGTTCCGTCATTGCTTGTTGGTTCATTCTGTAATACCAACTTTGCCTAGTGAAACTTTTGCCGATTTCTCCCGTGTATGTGCAAGCGCTAAGGAACTAAGCAAAGCTACGATCACTCATAGTAGTTCGTGCCTACCCCGTAGTCTAGCTCACTACCATTGTAGAGTGAATCTCCGCAGAAGGGAGGGCGATGCGTGGATGGGAGATATAACGCGCGGATGGGATGGCGAGGAGCGGTAGGGAGGGCGACGGGCAAAAGGGTGGGCGACGAGCAGATGGAAGGCGACGGGCGGAAGGGAGGGCGGCGTATGGAAGGGAGAGACGAGCGGGTGCATATGCGACTAAGGAAACTTGGGCGACGTAAGGAAGCGTGGACGACGTAAGGAAACCAGAGTGACAAAAGGAAGCGTGGCCGACGTAAGGAAGCAACTACAGGGAGCGAAGCAACCGAAGGTGTCGCGGGCAGGCGAAGGCGACGGGGGCAACCGAAGTGACAAGCGATCATGTTTTATAGAGCAATTCTAATTCGTTAACTGATAAATCACTAGCAGAAATACGGAGTGATACGGAGTGATCCCTTGGGCATGAATAGTGGGTGAACTACTTAGAATACGATTTGCAATTATTACCAGATGATTTTCAAGTTCATTTTCAAGTGAACAGTGCTGCCTTGCCAGCTGACCCTCCGCTCGGGATGACTTTGAGTGTCGCTGTCCAATCACGGATCACTATCGTGACAGAATGCTCGACTTCATGTTGTAACTTCGTTTTTGGCGAATTCGAGAATCTTGAACATGAAAACAACCATGTGGTACTCGGGATTTAAACTGATCGAGTAGGTCAAGACGGGGTTGGAGAAGCGTGGCCGTACCCCCTTCCTCAGTGGAGCGGCTTTCCACCGAGTGGTCGATCATGTCACGGGAGCGGATACTGAAAAGATCAAAGGCCTGACATCTAGGGATAAGTATCGCTGGTGGCATCTGCTACCTGACACGGTTCAGCATAAGCAGCTGCGATGTTTATGTCACGGAAAGGCAGGACAACATCGCAAAATGGAATCTGACCGTGCAGCGGCTGCACGTGATCAACGGTAAACAGCCATGTACTATCCTTGTGTTTCAGGCTGTCGGGGTCCATATCGGATTCGTTCCTTGCGTGAGTAGCTGCATCCCACAAGGCCGACGCGCGTATGACGAAGATTCTGCGGGACCCGGCCTTGGTGCTGATCTCCACTGGCGGAAGTCGGGAGGACTGGATATGCGTCCAGGAGGCGTGCGGAAAGGCCCACGGCACCAGTTTCACCCAGGCGGAGGCTCACGTGAAGTCCGTCCAGCATTGCATGGCGCTCCTGCAAGTCGTGCGAGCAAGGGGAAGTTGAAAGTCATTCCGATTTGCAAGGAGTATGGCATGTACAGACAACAAAGGAAGGGGAGTTGTGGAAGGTTCGCAAGAAACCACATGACAATGATACACAGAAAGGAGTAGGAGATGTTACTTTGTACCAAGCCCGTGGATGTGAAGGGGCTCTCTTGCAGTTGAATAATGGGTAACAACACCAACTTACCTTTTGCGAGGTCAATGTAAACGGCCTCGGAAGCAACGTCAAGCGAACCTCATACAAGAAGTGGATTCAAACGGTAGCAGATGTGGTTGTGCTGACTGACACGAGGATAGTAGAAGATCATATCTTTTGGACTCAGCTAAAACTAGCTGCAGTGGTGGCGGTAGGGAAAAGTGAACGTGTAGGAGGGGTCGAAGTGCTGGCCTTCAAGGAAGGGGTGACATTGACAGACGTAGTAAAACATCCATCAGGCAGACTCATTGGGGTGACCGTGACATATGCGCGATTCACATGCAGGCTCGTAGCGGCATACTTACTAGCGCACCCTTGAGAAATTTCTTCAGGAACTGCTTCCCGCAGTTTGTTCAGGCACAACCTCCATCAGCACACCTGGTTCTAATGGGAGATCTGAACCTGGTGGAGGACCCTGTCATAGACAAAACGTCGCGTGCAGGATCGAGCGGAGAAAACCAGAGATGGCTTGGCTACTGGCCGGCCTGGGACCTCAAAGACGCCTTCAGAACGCTGCATCTATCCGAACTGGAATATACTTTTCGGAACAGGGCAACGCAGTCCAGCACGTGGATAGACAGAGGGGTGGTGTCTCTCTCACTTCTGGGGGTTTTGGCTTAGGCGAGGCATGTCAAAGTGCCGAAGGGTTTGACGGATCACTGGTTTGCGATAAAGGTGGGGCCGACAGTGGCGCCCTCGCTAGATCAAGGTCCGGGCCTGTGGAGGATGCAAGCACGGCAGGCTAGGAAGAGGGGGATTAGAACAGCTGTAGTGAACGTACTTAAACGGCCGCAAAAAGAGACAAGCATGGACCTTGGCATGAAGCTCCAATTGCTCAGCTCTGGATTGCGGGCTTATGAAAGAGAAGAGAGGAAGAGTGTGATGGCGACGATGGAGCATCTGGAAAAGGAGGTGGAGATGCTTCGGCACAAGGTGATGCGCCACCCGGCAGACAGGAAAGACTAGAGCAAGTTGGTATGCAAGGAGACGCACTTGGAAGCGTACCAGCTGAGCTGCAAAGAGAGTCTACAAGTCGTTGCGGGCATTAGGGTGGAGCTCAGTGGGGAGGTGCCATCGCCGTATCTGTTGGCAAAAGTGAAAATATGAAAGGGGTGGACGCTAATAAAGGCGATCTCGCACCTGGATGTAGAGTACCGCGGGCACGAAGCGATGCTGGAGGCGACGGCGGATCATTTTGAGGTGGCCTTCAAGGAGGTGGAGCTGGAGGAGGAAGTGGACTGGGAGGCCTCAGAGGGGCCATCACTCACGGAAGCAGATGCCGAACGGTTAAGCGTAAACTGGTCAGAGCAGGAGGTCAAAGATGCGCTAGTTGTGCTTCCCAAAGGGAAGTCCCCAGGGCAAGATGGGTTACCTGCAGAGTTTTTTATGCTGAACTAGGACATACTGAGGGAGCACGTGATGCGGTTTGTTAAAGACTTCGAAAAGTCCACAAAGATGCCGGAAGGGCTGTCCACGGCAGTGACTGTGCTGCGGCACAAAAAGGGACCAGAGGATCAATAGGGGAACTACAGACCAATAACATTGTTGTCGGTCATGTACAAGTTAGTCACGATGGCCATGAGGCTTAAAAAAGTGCTGGGGAAGGTTCTCTCAAAGGAGCAGCAATGATTCTTACCGAGGAAAAGTCTCGAGAATGCAGTGCCAGTTGTTGCGGATGCGGTGGAAGCGGTGAACAAAAGGAAGACTGGCTGCTGCTACTGGTCGAGAAGGCTCATAACACGGTCTCGACGGGATATATGTTCAAAGTACTAGAGAAGCTGGGCATACCAGAGATGTTCTTCGGCTGGTTGAGTGACAAGGTCGAAATGAGTAGAGGAGTGAGGCAAGGCTGCCCACTAGCGCCTTACCTCTTTTTGTGCGCATTGGAGCCACTCTGCAGAGAGACGTGCCGCAGAGGGCTGGGAGTTGAAGAGACGAGAGCGACGCCACTATCATATGTTGGATACGCTGATGATACGTCCTTGCTGAAGGGGGAGTAGCAACTGAGGGAGTCGGTGGAGATGCTTGACACGTTCGGCAAGCAGTCGGGGCTGAAGGTGAACTGCAGCAAGTCAGCGGTTGTGCCGCTGGGGGAGTCAGGCGCCGGCGGGTATCCCCCACAAATGGGCGATGCAGGAGGAGACGGACAGACTCATGGGGGTGTGGATCACGCCGAATGGAGATGTCGGTTCGTTTTGGGACAGAACGTACGAGAGAATAAAGGAAAAACTAGGTAAATAAGAGGCATATATTATAATCACGACAGCCAGAGTGGTGGTGATCAGCTGCTACGTCTTATCGGTGCTGATGTTTCAGGCGCAGGTATACCTGCCGCCGGAGAAAACGTGGGACACGATAAGGAAGCTATGCCCACCATGCGGAGAGTCACTACACAACGGGAGTGGACTACGGAGGAGGGCACCGGGTTGTGCGAGTGATTGTAGTGCTCTGCTAGAATTCTTGCTACTTGCAAAAGAAAGTTGAAGGTTGACAATAGTTTCCGCGAACGGAGTTGAAAGAACATTG